ATGCTGCTAGTCTGTCAGGCCAGAGAAAGTCTTTCACACCTACTGAATAACCGATCTTTACAATAATAGGGCAAGTGTGGCATTATTAAGCTCATTCCATTGAAGAGAAAACGAGGGCTTAGGGAGGCTGAGCAAATTTCCTCCAATCATGGGACAAGGAAGTGGCATGACCTGGATTCACACCCATTACTTCAAGTATCACTAAATTGGAAAATCAAGTTCACATAAAACTTTGCCTCGCTCCTTCCAGTCAGTAAGTGCAGACCTGCTTAGCGAGTTGCATGGGCTTTCTTCAAGCAGATGCCACCGCTGGTCGTGTGCCTGATGGTACTCTGAATGCCAGGAACCTCTGGTTCCTTCCCTACTTTGATCACTAGCCTTGAGGAGCACTGTGCACGTGCTTTGTAGCACATGGTTCATTCTCAGTATTTTTTATACCAAGTGAAAGCTTTATTTTTAAATTAAGTTTATTGGTACATTTTAGATACACATTATGCTCACATTCATCACAGAGAATTTGTACTTGTACATGATATAACTTGATCCTTTTTCCCCATCCCCCTCCCCTTTCTTCAAACCTTCCTCTCATTATTTACAAACACTTTGCTTCCATTTTTTCTTCTTTTCTCATTTTTTCTTTTCCCTTCCTTCTCCTACCACCTTGTTCTCCTTCCCATTTGAACATGAACATTTTCTTCCTATTTCACAGTATCTATTACACACTTGGTACTTAGTTACAGTTCTGGCTTCTCACAACAGAGAAACAATGTGGTACATACACGTGTGTCTGATTTATTTCAAGAGCATGCTCTCAAGGTGCGTTTTTTATGCAATGGAGTACTACTCTGCCATAAAGAAGAATTAAGCTTGAGATATTTCTCAGTATTTTTATTGAAACTCTTTTTCCAGTTACCAAAGAAACCACAAGTATCTTCTGCTTCTTTGAAAGCCCCTGTGTCAGAACCCATGTGCATAAACTCCTTAAATTACAGAATTAGTTCCTACTGTGTGTCATCCCCTGAACATAAAAGTACAAGTAATGTAGGTCAAACAACTCATTTTCTGATTAGATAAATAGAGCAAGAAGATGATGTGTGTTGATTTTATAAGAAAATATTTTTTTCTAGTAGCCTGATACAATTTAGGACTGTATCATGGTTCGATACTGCTACTCAGATGTACTCCAAATCTTTCAGCTCTGTAAGAGACAGTCAAGTTTTGAGGAGTTATATAGTTCTTTAGTTATACTTAGGATGGGGTCTACATGTACCAAAGACACTTTATACATTACAGTCAATATATCTGATTTTGGAATGGAGACTTCATTGCAAAGTTTAAATTTGTTTAAGGAGAGTCAAGCCAGAGTAAATATCTGCAATTTTGATAATAAAGCAAAGAGAAAACAATACATGAAAAACCTGCAAAAAGCATTGCATAACAGAGAAAGTTCTTTTTAAAGTTTTTACTCAACTAAACAAATTGGTGTCTACATAAATGTTTCCAGTGACATTCTAATCACTCATTTAGATATGGGTAAAGCTGAAGAGAAGCAAAACCCAATGAAGAGAGAGATAAATAAGGGCTTTGTAGATTAATTTGGCTTGACAGGAATGGGTCTTTTGAGGAATGGAAATTTAAACAGATCTAAACGTCATAAAAAAGTTAAGTGACAATCTAGGCAAATAAAACTCTAGGCAGAAGGATTAGGCAGAGAAAGGGTCTGGAGGCAGAAACAAGAAATATGGTTTAAGGAACAGTAAGAAAACCAATGTTGCAGAAAAAGTAAAAGAGAAAGAGTCCTCGTTGAGGGGAGAGAATAAATAAACTGGACGGAAGCCCTGAATATCGCCATGCAGGGGTTCAGATTTTATTTTAAAACATGATGAGAAATCACTGAAGAGTTTTGGACAAGAAAGTGATATAATATGGCTTTCCAACACTGGGGTATGGAAAACTGACTACAGGGCTGCAAGAGTGGACCTAAGGAGGCCGGTCTGAAAGCTGGAGCAATTGCCCACGAGGTAATAACCGTCAAAGGCAAAAGCAAGTGAAGTGGCAAAAAAACGGCAGTGTTTAGGACATGATTGGACAGACAGAGTTGACTGAATCTGCTGATTCGTCAAACTTGGGGATCTGAACTGAGTAACTTAGTAAACTGTAGTGCTGCTGATTGCATGGTGGAGTCAGGGGATAGGCAATAACGAGCTTGGGAAGAAAACTCGAGAGTTTGGTTTTGGACATGTGAAGTCTGAGTTACCTATTTGATACTCCAAAGGAGGTACTGTATTAAGTGCACCAATCACTGAGGGGAAACCTGAGTTGGAGGTAAAAGTTAGGAGATATCAACACAGAGGTGGTATAGAAAACTACAGGAAACAGTGAAATCCCCAAGGGATCAGCCAGCGTATTAGTGTAGGTTAAAAAAAAAAAAAAAACAGGGTGGAGGAGATGGGCGGGTCCTGAGTGCTGCAGCCTGGATACTGGGAAAAGGAGGAGGAGGCAGACAGACGCTGAATTTGCTGCTGGCAATGCTGAAAACCCAGGTGAAAACAACCACACAGGAGCAAGAAAATACTTTAACACGAAGAGAAACAATGATTTCCTATGTTAAGGCTGCTGCACAGTAAATAAGAATATCAGTTTGCCATGGAAGATACTTGTTACAGCAGAGATAATCTACAAATCAGGGGCTCTATGGTTATTGTGTGGGAAAATGGCTTATACAAAAGCATTATTCTACAAATATTAATTAAACTACTTTATTATAAAGTCTAATCTTTAATGTGAAAATCTGTCCCAATTAGATAATGTGAGTTTTTGTGTCAGCTGGAACCTTGTGACATGAACGAAACAGCCCAAATACCACTCAGGGGCTTCCTTGAGTCTGTCTATAGGTTGGAGAGAATTCTTTCAACTCTGAAGAACTTCATCAACTATGATGTCAGTTCTGTTGAGGCAAAATATGAAAACAGTAGGACCCTACACTTTAACAAGTGGGCTAATATCCTCTTCTGTCAAAATGTCCCATTGATGCAAAGTCTGTGTTCTTATCATGACCCAAATTTTATATCCATTCTTCTTTTTTTTCTTCCTTTGTATCTTTAAATAAAATGGATTTGGGAAAAAATTTATATCCAAGCAAATGGGTCCATGTTCCATTTTGAATTGGGGCACTACTTGTCTTCTCTGCAGACATGTGGTAAAGTCAGAGACTTGTGTGTAGGGTATTTGCTTACTCAATGATTGGGGCCATTTTAAATCAAGATTGATGTTCTCTTATCACCCAACATGCCCTGGATAAATTTATGCCTACTTGACTGGTACATATTCAAAAAACATGTTCAGGGATTATAAATCATTAATTGTCTAAGTAAAACAACACCAGAGTGGAATAAGTAGAGTACAACAAAACATTAAAATCCTACTCAAAGGAAACTGTATTAACTTACCCATCTCTCAGACCCCCTCCGGCCATGACAATAATCTGTCACACAGATCAGATTTTTAATATGGCTCTAAATGACCAGTGCTAGGCACACAGTAGTACTCAACAAACAACTGGCTTATTTTAGAATAAAGACATGCTTTCGGAATGTTTAAGTAAGCTCTACTATCTGGCATTCAAGCTCTAATTATTTTTCAGAAAAAAAACTTGACCGGTACCAAATGGGAAAAATGACTCAGTGTGTACTGATTTACTCCATCAGTTTTTTAAATCCTTTTAGCAACTTAAACTTATGCAATTTGATTTTCTTGTCATTGCTTTCCCTATACTATCAAAAATGATGCTTTCTTTACTATTTCGAACTCATCATAAAATTGCTAAAAATCTAAAATTGAATTTGCCACATTACTGCTAATTTGAATAATGGCTGAATAAAACACAGGAAACGCTGAAGCAGCATTGATTTCTAAAACATTTTGCACTTTCCTCCTCCATCCCTGTAAAGTAAAGCTCGGATGCTACGCGCAATTACACAAGAAAATCAAGAAAGCTATTACATTCAGCATTTTGTCATGATCATTGTTACCATGGCAAAAACTAGGCTTAGTTTAGCACAGCTGCTACGGGCGAGGTCCGCTGGCCTTTTGTAAAGCTACTCAGTATAACATCAAATTCCGTAGCCTGTCACTGGTGACCCCTACCCCCACTTCAGGACGAAGCTCCTGTCCACAGACGCTACTTTCTCCTTCCTTAATGTTCTGGGCCAATGTCATCTTATTGCTGCATTTGACCTAGGAACACAGTTAATCTAGGAAGGGAAAAATATATGTTCTAAGAGGGAAAAATGAATGGTGCAAAAACTTTGGAGTGCAATACAAGAAAAAGCCAAAGTCTCAAGAGTTGTATTACAGATGACTACAATATTGTGCTGCAAGAAACACAAGTTTGGGAGAGAGGCAGAGAAATGCAGGCCCATGGTAACTAGCTGAATCCTACATTATTTTCTCTTTTTGAGTATCAGTTTAGTTACCTATAAAATGGGGATAAAAGTACATTTCTTGGGAAGATTAACTGGAATAGTCTCAGGTCTGAGAGGCTTAACCTTTCTGTAATGGCTGATAGTCTGATCTCTTTGGAAACTTTCCTACTGTTGTAATCTAAATCATTTTCATCTTTCAAATCATATGGATTACTTTTCTCAGCTGAAATAACTATTTTTATGGTCTGACAATAAACATACATTTCACATCAAAAGGATAAAAATTCAATGTTTATAATATACATCACATCTTGCCATACATATTTTAAGTGCACCATTATTATTAATGTAAAATATGAGAGTACTTTGACCTTATATATTTTTAGTTTTAAAAAATGAAGCAACATTATGAAAGCAGAGAAGTTTAAATTATCTGAAATTAATACATTAATCAAGACTATATTTACTACAAAAAAAAAAAGGCAACTAGCATTTTACCAGCTAAACAAAATATTTTCTCTAATGAGATTTCAGCTGAGTATCGTTTATCTTAAGAGAAAAATAATGGGACCTTACCTATTCCAGTAGCTCCAGAACTGGTCGTGCAGGTAGGCGTGGTGGCTACATTCATCACCAAATGAGGCTTTGCTTTCAATCCAGTGAATTATGTGCCCTTCTACAGCTAAGGGACAAAGCATTACTAATACACGGTGAAGAGCAGGGAAGATTGAAAATTCTGCACTCTGCACAGGCCTCTCCACGTGTCACATTAATGAGCAGAGGTTTAGCCCTTACCGTCAACTCTGACTGTAATTAGAAAAAAATGCATGGCACATGTCCATCACAGAGAACACTGACTCCACAGTCACTGCCCTTTTGTTTTCATCAGATTCTCCTCTCTTCCTAGTTCGAGACTGTGATTCTGTAGCTTGACTAGGGACATGGTAAGCAGTCCAGAGTAAGCCTCTCTATTCCACACAACTATTTTAAAAATACGCAATTTAGAGAAATGAGTAAAAGTGGCAGCTGAAATATCTTTAAAGGCATACTCGTTTCTCAAATACATGCAAAACGTTTAAAGACATAGATTTCTTCTGAATCTGTTATTTTCTCGTATCTTACAATAATCTTTGCCACCTATTTCACTCATTTAGAAATAATACTATAAAGCTAATATATTCTGATGACATTTTGTAATAGTAGCATACTTTAAAAAGGGATGGAAAAATCTTATCTCCTCTATAAACAAATGAATTAACCAAGGGTAGGAACTTACCAACTGGTACTTGTAAAATAAAGTCTGGTGTTTTGTCATAGCCCTTAGCACGGAGCTGATCTTCATCTACAGAAAGAACAAAAACTATTATTTATAACAGTATTTCAATAACAAGACAGCAATATAACTGCTTTTCTTTCTTAAATATGTGTAAAAGTTACTAATGCAGTCATACTTATTTTTCTTATGCATGCAATGCTGTATCAGAATAAATGAATTTTCGTAACCTGAAGCAGATTAAAAAAATGCGTCTTTGTCCAGTTTCCATTTTTATGTCTTTAATGTAAACATCATTAAGTCAAGCTGTGATATGCTACCTCTTTTGCAACTAAAATACTCGAAGAAATCAACTTACTGATTGAAAACAAGAGATTGTATTGCCATGAATATCACTAATGTTATTAGCCAATATTGACAATTTATAGTCAAGCACAAGGATAATGATCTTTACAATTATGAAACAAATGCTTGCATTAAAGCAATAAGAAAATCTAGTTTCAATTAAGAAAACCACTCCTACACACAAGAAAAGGACAAGGACAATGGGATCACTGCAAAGAATTAATTAACCTGCTTAATTTCCATGGTACACTAGTGTTTCTAGGATTTACTAGGGTTTTGAACTAACTATGTAATTCTGAAAAGCAAACAGGCTTTGAAATTTTCGTCCTTAGTCAATTCGATTTCTTGATCCTCTGCAAATATCAACGATCTACTCAGAAGGAATGGAAGCAAGAAAACAGGAAGCCTGACAAAGTTGGAAAAAACTAACAAGGTGCTTAATTTAAAAAAAAAAAAATCCCTCAATGTTTTCTAAATGCTGTCCTTGACTTCTAATGGTATTACAATGTGATTTCTGAAATGGGGAGTTCTCCATTAGATTTTGGTGTGACCTGGTCATTCAATTCCAGACATGGCTTTCTGTCTTCACCCAACCTCAACTAATGGCCCGACCAAGTAACAAGGAAGGCTGTGTGGTCTCTTAACACCTACTGGGCTGTTGACATTGCCATGCATCCCATTCGCCTTCTTGCATCACCTTTGATTAAAATTAATGACCCATTCCCAGTGTTGGGTAGCTTATTTCCAATCCATTTGTCAGGCAAAGACAGTGGTTTCATGGCCAATGTTCAGAGACTCTGCTTTAGAACACATTTGTGTACATCTTGAAAGGTCAGCATTTTAAACATAAATAACCTTTTAATGACGAGATATATTATCTTATCATTAAAGTGGATATTTAAATTCAATTCTGATAAAATTCAGTATCTTTAGACTTCCCAGATTTTAAAGAATGGAGGCCAGAATTTGGAACCATCTTATCTCTTTGAAACTTAAAAACTTTCAGTTAACTTGAGGTTATATGATACAAATTACTGTTAATTTACAAAGAAGAGAATTAGGAAACTGGATTACAGAAAATAAGACTGGAAAAATTTCTGTCATCTAACTGACCACAATGAGAACATTTAATGGAAAAGACATTTAATGAAATCAACTCCAGTGCCTTGAGCTGATGTTTTAGATAGGTAATGAACACTTTTAAAAGCTGGGCTGACATTAAAAAAGATAGATTAATATTTTATTAAAACTATTCTAGTTTGATCAACCTTTGTAGATGCCAAAATCCGTTTCAGAAAGAAAAATGATGTTTCCGACAGCAGCTCAAAACAAAATTTCAAAGGTCACCAAGCAATCCAAATGAACACAATAAAATCCCTTTCAAAGCAGATGGGCACTCCTGTCCATGGCACTGAATTACTAACACAGTACCTACCATTTAAACTGCATGACTTCCTCAATGTGAAAATTAAAAAAACCTAAACCCTAAAACCTGAATTTAAAAGATTAGATGAGGCTAGGAGATTTCTGTATCTGTTTTATAGAGAATTTGAAAATACCACAGATATTTTATTGGTTTATTTCCATTCATAGTCTCTCTCTGTCTCTGTCTCCCTCTCTCTTTCCCCTCTTCCATTCTGCTCTTTCACTGAATGTTAAGTTGATCCAAAAGGAACTCTACCCAAAAAATATCTAGAAATCTATATCATCAGCAGTGACATTAGACTTCTAGTTTTATAAGAAAAGGTTATTTCAACACCTAAAATGTCCCTTTATTTACTCAACTCTCTGCCTTACCTCCCTTGTTTCAACTTATGACCTTTTACATCCTAGATTTCCTAAGAAAGGAGAAGGAATACTTGGCAAAGTTCAGAGGAAGCAATACTTATGACTAGGCGGGCTTTTCACAGTCTAGGTCCCAGAGATGCTCTTATCACTAACCACAGGTCAGCTCCATTCACATGGCCTGATGTTTTGCCCTTTGAATCATGCTTCTTTCTTGGCCCCCAGATACTGAAACATTTCTTTATTCAAAGTACTGTGTACAGGCTTAGATTCTGGCTGACATGTCAGAGTTCTAACTTTGGGATCTTGAAGTTACAGACCTTGGTTTTCAGTCCATATCACTTCCCTCCTACCTCATTCTTTCTTGTTCCCTTGTACTGCTATGTTTAGACCTCATGATGCTTCTCTGAGGACAAGAACTTTCTTCTCGTTTTTATTGTCTTACGTTCCCCAGTCTCACCATGAGTATTAGCTCCAAAGACATTTAAAGCTCAAAACGGACAAATCCAAAATGGGCATTTGAGACAGATATGCACTTCTCAGATAAAGAAATACAAATAGCAAATACGTGAAAAAATGTTCAACGTCATTGGTCATTTGAGAAATACAAATTAAAACAACAAGATTGCATATCACCCCAGAAAGAGTGGCTTTTATCAAGAAATCAACCAATAACAAATGCTGGCAGGGCTGTAGGGAAAAAGGGAACCTTTTTCTACCGTAAGTGGGAGTGTAGAATGGTACAATCACTGTGGAAATCAGTGTAGAGATTCCTCAAAAAACTAGGAGAGGTCCCATTCAATCCAGCTACTCTTCTTCTGAGTATTTTCCCAGAATTAAAACATCATACCACAGTGATATATGTGCACATATGTTTATAGCAGCACAATTTATAATAGCTAAATCTTGGAAACAACCCAAATGCCCATCAACTAAGGAATGGATAAAAATGTGGTATTTTTATACAATGGAGTACTACTCAGCTATAAAGAAGGATAAGCTTGAGTCTTCTATAGGTAAACGGATGCAACTTGAGCCCATACTCATAAGTGAAATAAATGAGACTTACATGTGTAAACATCATGATGTCTCCCTAGTGTAAAATCTAAAAGAGTAAATAAGATCCAAAATCTACAATAGATACTGTGAAATGTGAAGAAATTGCTCAAAAGGAAAGAACAACTGGGATGAGGGAAAAGAGAAAATAAAGAAAGAAAAAGAAAAAAAAATACACAAAGACCCACATGAGATAGCTAAGATAATTACACTACTAATTTCTATTAGTTCATTGAAAAAAATGGCTTGTGTTTATATTGTTTGATCAATTTTTCATGCCTATATTTTATAATCAGAGCAACTATTTTGAAGATACCGATATATTTTAACTATTGTTAATCTCCTATTGGCTTTTTCTGAAATTCTTTATCATTTTTATTGTTTTCTCCCTTTAAAATAAAAAAGGACAAATAAGTGAAACATAAGTGCATTAAAGAATACTCATGTTGTCTGTAAGTCCTATCCAGACTGGCAATACTTTTCATTCCTGATTTAACATGCATAAACCAAAGCACAGAGACACCAAACTTGGCCCAAAGTTCAAGGTTTTACTTGGTAATTCCTGCTGCCATTGTTCATCTTTGGTCCCAAAGGTCTGAAGCTAAGGTTCATCCCAAATGCAACAGAAGGGACTGCGTCCCTTTCTTTACCACTAGTGGGAAAATTTCCTCCTTTTTTTCTTTTACCACTGGTATTGTAAGAACATTGGGCTTACTCACTCCTTAAAGTTCGGGTAGAATTTTTCCTCAAGTGCGGTTTCTGTCTGGCGATACTTTTGGGGAGCTCTTTTATCACTCTTCCAATTTCTTCTAGGGCAACTTATCTGTTCAGATTTTTATATTCTGTAGACAGTTGTATTCTCTTTGAGAATTGTGTATTACATACAGGTTCTTACAATACTTTTCAGATACATAAGCCAAGTATGGTTATTCACTATTGTTTGCATTTTCCAAGTAGAAATTAAATGTTTAAGTAATCTGCTGTATTTTTTAAGAAAAAAGATCAAGATTCAGGAAAAAATGAAGAACAGTATCAGCTGGAGGGGGCAATAATATGAATAGTTGATTTGAATGTAATTTTCCCCAAAAATTCAATTTCCAAGTCCTTTAAACCTATCTTACTCACTTAAGGTATATATTTAAGAATACTAAGTATTTCATAATTACAAAGCTTACTGTCACAGTTCAAGTGCTCATTACCAACATAAACACAATATTATCATTTAAAAGCAGACTTGTGAAGCCAGGGATTTAGCTCAGTGGCATAAGCGCCTGCCTGGCACGTGCAAGGTCATACCTTGCCACCAGTACCTAAATAAATAAATAATCAAAAGAAAAACAAAAACAAAAAAAACAGACTTGTTAGTTTCCTGATCCACCAAATGTAGAGTTTCATAGTGGGTACCTCAAGAAAAACTGTAATTCTGAACTAATAAAGTCTTACAGAATACTAATCCAATATATATAATATATGTATATATATACATATATATACTATGTATAATAAATAATAAAAGGGGCCTAGAGAGGTTAAATTATCCAGGGATCTTTCAGATAAGTACAGACAGAGGACAGGACAAGTTGTACTCAGTCTGGGTAGACTGTATCCCTGTCTTAATTATGGCAAATATTTAAATTTGATCTTGTGTAATATCTGTGATATGTAACATTTGGGTGATTTCTCACTCTCTTCTTGTGGGATTTGCAGCTAACCACCTGCCAGTCTTATTTAGACCACATCTTCTTGAAGAGGAGACGAGCACGATAACTTCCTGATTTCTAGCACTTTAATGGTACTCACTACTGAATAACACTAAAAATATCAATAAAACTGTTGTCACAGATAACATTGATGTTAATTTAAGAAAATCTTTTAAATTAATT